TTGCTCTCCATGTTATGGCAAATTGTAGTTTTATTTCAGTGATCAATATAAGATTTTTCTCTTAGTTTCAATCACAATTAACTTTTTATTAAATAGTTTTTTTTTTTTAATTAAATACAGTACGATCTCCTTTACTTCAGAAGGAAACCTGACATGATAGTGACCGACTTAATGCCCAGAAAACTACTTTTTTTTAACTTAGATATTAGAAACCTCGGCTCAATATCAACAACTAATGAGTGAAGGCCCGCCGCGTCGCGGCGCCTACCTCCTGGTTAAACGGCTGTGGAATGGGGTTGCGTGAATTCCTGCGCACAATCTGAAAATATAATTAAATAAACTGATTGTAATAGGTTTTACGTGGTAGAGCCATGCTGCAGCTATATTATGGGTGAAGCACGAATTGTCCGGGGAAGGACCACGCTCTCATACCAGCGTAAAATAGCAGCTTAATAATGCTGTTGTGTTTCGTATGATAAGTGTAAAGAACCGGAGACCACTTTTGCTCGAAACGAGGCATTCCATCTTAGTTCTCAGGGGTGACAACGCATCTTCATTTTGATTCTTAACCGAGGATGTACGTATCTATTGGCCACAGCATCCACTTACTATCAGGTGGGCTGTGTGTTCGTTTGTTACCCTTTTTCTATATAAAAAAGATTGTAAATGTTCATTAAAAATGATTATGTAATTGCAAGAAATTAATATACCCCACCTTGACAAGCGGCTTAACGTAAATTATTAAGTGGGTAAGAATCGATACAGGGAACCTTCGAAACGTTTTTTTTTGCACAAAGGTATATTGTTCACAGGCGGTTAGTGCGACATCTTTTGAAATCGATGTTATATATCGCAGCCAACTAGTTTAATTAGCCTTTCAGTTAACAGCCTAGACATTACATTGCATGGCCACCCTATTTATGTATGTGTAACATATATATATTCATCTAGGGGCACGGCAGTGCCCCCGCCAAGTCGAGCAAAAAAGCGGCACGGCCGTACCATCCTTTTCTCGAAGCAATTCAGGCCATTATCGAAACCCTATAACTTCGTTGTGGATAAAACTAGAAGCCTGAATTTTCAGTAACCAAGTAGGCATTGTAAAAACTCGGTATATTTCAAATTTAATTAAATTTGAACCAGTAGTTTAAGAATTATAACTAGACAAAGTTTCTTTATTTTGTCACTCACTGACTGACCGATCATCAAAACTCTAAGGCACTTCTGACAGACATAGAACCTTCAAATTTGAAATACAATTATTATTGTGTAGTATATAAATGAAGGAAAAACTTAAATATTTTGCAGTTTCGGTCCAGTTTTGGAGATACACCAATTGTATAAATAACTTTGTAATCCCATATAAATATTTAGGATTACAATGTTACATTTGCACTGAATGAATCAGTGTACATATATATGTATAATATAATGGAATAATAGGTGTAGATAGGTACCTAGATATAACTATCTACAAAAAGAAATGAGATGCCATCAAAAACATAACTTGTAAAAAAACCAAGTCTCGCAAGTCAGTTCTTCAGTTCTTCTACCGTAAAAAGTTGTGAGATCCATAAAACAGAAACAGAAACTTTTTTATTCAATATAGATTATAAATAATACTTATTGAAAGTCACTCTTTTGTTTGATTACCACTGGGTCGGAAAAAAACCTCTGTCCTGAGAAGAACCAACGGGACTTTTTTTTTAAATAACAGCTTACAATCATGTATATTACACAAATTAACAACACAACAAATTAGAAATAACTTGGTAGCGATCACCTCATTTCCAGGGGTTATTATCATCCATAATACCATAAATCCATAATCCATGTAATACCAAGTCGGTTAATTTATTAAGTCCATTCTTAAGGCTCCTTTTGTCACACAACAACGTCTTATAGACCACATCAATACTAAAAATCTTTTATATTTTAAATAAATAGATTGACTTGGCCATCGCATGAAAACACAATGTATCTCTCGATTGCCAAGTCAATTTATTTATTTAAAACATAAAAGATTTTTAATATTGATATGGTCACTATAACATGCTGTTAGGTTAGCTGATTACGTAATAACTTAAGACAGAAGGACCCTTAAGTAGGGACTGAATAAATTAACCGACTTGGTATTACATGGATCTCACAACTTTTTACGGTAGAAGAACTGAGTTGCGAGACTTGGTTTTTTTACAAGTTATGTTTTTGATGGCATATATTTATCACAAACTCTTTAGTAAAACGTAGGGACTGCATACTACCGTCTACGGCACATCTCACAAGAGCTATAGAATACAGATTTAAAAAAAATACTCGCTCGCATAAAGTTGACCATCCGAATTTGTTCCGATCCGGCTGAAAATCAGCGCTGCAAGCTCGAGGCTTATGCTGAGACGGTCCCTTCCACCATTTCAGATTTTTTTTACTTTTTTATTTTTTATTTTTATTTTAATGTGCGTTTGCATATACATATAATGGACGCACTTTTTTTCTCTATTCTATGTTTTTTTTTGTTTATAAGTCATTTGTTTTATTTTTAATTGTAATTTGTCATGTGTGTAGAAGATGTAAGTGTTGGAATAAATGTCTTTATGTCTATTAATTTCATTCAACGAGACGGTCGCTGGTCTGTGTCTAATTAGCGCTATGTGTTATATAAATTTATGCAAGTTTAGATTGGCCTAAGGGCCACTTCATCCACACCTTAACCCACTCTCGCTGATACGATGTGTTCTATAAACCTGTCCTGCGCATAGGCTGGTCTCCGTTGAGATTGGCCGCAGTGACCGAAATTCGTTCTGGAGGGCACTGTTATTATTATTTGCCACGCTTGGCCAAACCGCCTGTTGGTAACCTCACTTTTTCTTTATTAAAGATATATATATAGGATATACTTTGCGGAAATTCATTATATAAAAGCTTTTAGAAAAATATACTTCGCAAATATCTGCGTTATAAAATAAAATGATGTGTCTTACCTAGTATGAAGAGCACCTCCCGCCCTCCCTCAATTGCGTGCACTATCCCCGTCACCACTAATCCCAGCACCGCTACTCCCAACACCACTACACTAGGCAAGACACACCAGTGACGATAATACGACACGTGTTTCGCCTCTACACGAGGCATCCTCAGGTGATATAGACTCTACGGTGGCTAACCGCTAAGTGAGCGGCGAGCCAAATATATATATATATTACTAGCGACCCGCTCCGGCTTCGCACGGGTTATATCTGGATCTTCACAACAGCGCCACCCAGCGGGTCCAATTGTGAATCGCTTAAATCATCCAGGGACCCATTCAAACACATAAAAAAATTCATCAAAATCGGTCCTTTCATTTTCGTTTTTTGGCGAGACTAACGGAGAGCAATTAACTCTGGTTTAAAAGACAAACGTGCGAAATGCAAAATTTTGTGGTTTACACTTTTTAATGCCAATCATACTAAATGAACAGGCCGCATCTTCTGCAATTATCGGAAAGACATAATTCCATCTCTTTCGGTCCAAACCGAACCTGTACATCTATATCTATAGGTACTCTATACAAATAAATAAAATTGAAGTGTTTGTTTGTAATGTAAAAATAACATCTTTTTACTAAATACATATGAAAGTGTATACGGTACTAATTACAAAAATACAATTTTTAAAGTTTTTGTCTGTCTGTCTGTCTGTCCGTCTGTCTGTCTGTTTGTTCCGGCTAATCTCTGAAACCGCTGGAGCGATTTTGACGGGATTTTCACTGGCAGATAGCTGATGTCACAAGGAGTAACTTAGGGTACTTTTATTTTAGAAAAAGAATTATGGATCCGCGAAAAAAAATGAAGACCCCAAATAACACGCGGGCGAAGTCGCTAGGAACAGCTTGTTTGTAATAAGAGACGTGTGAGGCACGAGACGAAAGAATCAAAGTGTGTTCATCCAATAACATTGCTCGATCTGAAGTGGATGTTTTCATGGGTTCAGTGGCCTCCACAAAAAACAAATTATTACAGTATCTTTATTCTAATTATTTATTACGTATTTACTTTAGCATGAATATAACATAACTTTAAGTACCAAATTTTATTGTTAATTACTGATAAATTTTGTGCAAGCTATGTCTACATATATATATTAGAATACAATTGTTGAAATCTTTGTTTTATATAATACCTGTCAGCATGTTGAAATTGTGTTCTGTTGCCATGATAGGAATCATAAAATGTATTAAGTATCTTTACACCACTTTATCTATGAGTATTGAAATTCACACAAACTTTAAGTGTTTTATAATGACAGGCAATTGACATCTAAAACCTAAAATTGGTACCTAATTTACATGACAATTTAGGTGGAATGTTATAAAAATAAATATATTAATTGAATACAATATTTAATTTTAATTTCCAAATAATTACATAATAATTGAAAATCATATGCTACACACATATGCACTAAGTGAACAACTGAATTAAACTGTTATCAGGAGGATGCTACTGTTTGGAGTAGTTGTGGTGTGTGATTTTCGTATGCCGCCACTATACGAGACATGATAGCATTGGTTGTTAAAAATTCATAAAAAAAGGATTCCTACAGAAATTCTTATGCCGTTCCATTCAGGACAGGGGAACGCCATTTTATATTTTAAGCCTTAGTAGATAAAAAATATCCTTGCTGCAAAAATATGCATATTTTTTAAATTAATTAACTAATTGCCACTATCTCTACGTAAGCAATACCATATGAGAAAGACAACATTATCAGTGGAATATTATATTATTTGACTTTCTTCCTGCATTATAGCCCTTTGCCGATGCTTAAAAAGAATAAGACCTTAAAATTATGAGACCTAAAGCTGTACGGCATAATATAGCGATAATTTACCAGCTTTTGGTTTCTCCAGAATCTAGATCATTGGAGAATAATTGAAATTTAGAACCAACGTTTACTTATTATTTTTATTTTTGTGAATTTTAACATATTATTATAACATAATTTTTATTTTGTTACAGGGATTCAACATCATGAATTTGAAGATCTAAGAAACGGATGACACCACGGGTTGGACTTAACGATTGTGATTGAAACCACGACTAAATACGAACGAACGAACATTTTTACTAACAAATGTGTTCATTTTGAATTCATGTCAGTTCTTTTATGATAAAAGAATTAATTATTGATATAAAACTGAATATTATGTTATTTTAGAACGCATCTGTAAATAGAAAGAGAGGCGAAGAGCGAGATAGACAGCTGCGTCCCAAAATAGTGCGTTCGGAAATAGATAAAAAATGTCGAGCTCAGTAACTGAGGGCGAGGCGGTGGGGACAGACGCCTCCAAATGGTGGTGGAAACCATGGAAAACTATGGCGGACCTGGCCGAAGCCGTTGACGATCTTATATGCAGCTTTGATTACATGGACACAGCTATGGACAATCTAGTCATGTTAATATTTATCTGGATAGTGTTCTCCATCATCCTTCTCGGTGTTGCCAAGTGGGCTTACGGAAAATTCGGTTTTAAGCCGGCGGAATCCGAGAAAGTGACGAAAACGATCGACGAGCCTAAGAAGTCGACTGCGAACGAAATTATTACAAGTTCAGATAGCGTCCTCGCTACGAGCGCAAAAATTAAGAGTGGGTCCTTTAAGCCAGCGAAGACCAGCTTCGTGCCAGCTACTCCACCGAACAAAAAGCGTTTGGGGCGTATGTCCCCTGGCCCTGAGCAGCTGAACCTTAAGAAGTATCAGAGCGTAATCGTTCCAACATGTACGGGGGCCGACCCTGTAAGCGTCACCTGGGTGAACGAGTTATTGACTTGGTTATATAACGATCTTGTTATTGTGAATGAATTAGTGCAACAATGGATTGTTTCTATGAACGAGTTCTCGAAGAAATCCGTCGAAGAGGTAAGGATTTTTAACTTTTCGTGTCTAGATTAAGGTTATGTCTTTTTCTTAGTGTTTTAAGGATTTTAAACAAGTTTAATCGTGAGATGCAAGCTCTAGCAGTTGATTAAAAATACTACTAATATAATAAATACTAAAACTTAATACAGGTATTTGAACAACACAGTAATAACAAAAATAAAATGGCAACACGAAACAAATTACCATATTATGAGTTACGTTTTGCTGTCACAGATATTTAATTTTAACTATTATTTCTCTACATGTTTTATATATATCTAATCGATTAAAGAATGTCGCATACACATAGTATTTATATACGAAATTGGGTAAGCGTCGAGTGTGATGAGAGACTATAACGACATAAATATTATCTTCTGATTTTGAACGAAAGTTTGACATTTGCCAAACGCCAAGTATTAGTGGGAAACTGTAACAAACGCGCCAAAAGTTCGCGTAGTGTATATATTCTTTGCCAAAAGCCTCTTCTTTGATCAAGAATAATGGTACACTAAAGATTTCAAAATTCCTATGTTCGCTTTATTTTAATATTTACAACACATCTATTAGAAGCCAATAAACTAGAATCCGATCAAACCAGCTGCTTTTCGGCGGTAACTGTAAATTTTGTAGCGAAAATAAACCTTATGAGATTGGCATGGCATATCCCGAGATTATAGTGGCGGTATTTTTATGTTGGTATCATTAATAGGTCGTCGGTACCAATAAAAATAATGTAGTTCAAGGACGATTTGCATCTTATTGCGGGAATGAACGGGGACGGATCAGTTAGTTCGAGATGGAAATGATGTAAGTTTTAGTTTGAATATTGTTTTTTTTTTGTAAATTGTTACCACGCTAGGATTTTCTCACGTATATCGTAGAGGTTAAGAGGCAGTTTACATACATAAACTGTACAAGGACAAACATTTAGATCCGGAACAATTATTTGTAGGCCACTTGTTCCCTGCGGGATTCGAACGCGCGCCCTCAGCACCGCTACTCAGTGCTGAAATTTATCAAACGGGTTGAAAATTAGCCGTACATATTGTATTAAATTACCAGTTAAATGGTTATTAAAAAAAGTGCATGTGCATATATAAACTAATAAGCCTTAGATCATTGGGATTGGGTGATTACAGGCAGGAAAATAAATATCTAGTATCGCGTATGACAACAATTTTACGTTTTGCAATTCTTTCCAAAACATTGCACTATTTAGTTTGTTTTCGTCTCGAAAATTTGAATTTATTTTTTGCTGAATGTAAAAATTACAATCCACCTGTATGTAAGTGGCTATTGCAGCCCATGAACATCTGCAGCTACGTTCAACCAAGAAAGCTACAGATATTTTGTCACCCCTGTGGTCTAAGACGGAATGTCACAGCCTTTAATTGGCTCTCTATGGTTCGTGTTAATAAACGTTCCACTGCAACGAACTGAAGTGCGTAATCATTTGATACGTCCTCATCACAATCTTGCTAAATAATAATCACATAAAAACAGTATCTCAATTACCACTAACCAAGATCTCTTTAAGACGCCGTACTTGGGATAGTGTTCTGTGACTTGAGGGCTTGATCTCGTGAATGATTATATACGTAATAATGACAGAAATGTTTAGAATATCATTTATCACATTTGGCGTTATAAAGTTGTTTTCTACTTAATTGAAATGTTGAATTACTGTTGCTGTTGTTCTTATTGTTGCCTTGAATTGGTCAAACTGTTGTTTATGTGTCTAAATATGAATTAAATGTTTACTACTCTCAATATTCACAAATAACCTAACGTATTAAAGCGGCAGCGTCGGTGTCAAAAAGAGTCGTAGTGATTTTAAAGTCTTTGCATGTTTACATATTATAACATCACTGACCTCGCGTTATAATTTAATTTCCACGAAAATTGAGAAAAATGTTTCCTCGATATTATAAAAAAATATAGAGTTGCAGTGGAAAATAAGGAAACCGATGGCCCGTCTCAATAGTATGGTAACTCAAAAGGATTCGAGGCATCCCCTATACATTTTTTTTATAAACGATTTCGCAAAGTCCCTAAAATATAGTATTATTACTCTACTTCATCGTTATAATTAATTTCACTTAAAGTATTTTCAAACTTCATGATTTGTGTTACTACAATCACGATCTCAAGTCACGGACATTCAAGTAGTAGTAGTAAGTAGTATACCTATATATTTAAATCTCTTTGTTTTTATAGGATAAGGGTGACAAACGAGCACCCAGTCCACCTGATGGTAAGTGGTTGCTATGGCTCATAGACATCTACATCTATCCTCGAATCAAAATGCAGATGCGTTTGTCACCCGTGAGGACTAATTTGCAATGCCTCTTTTCCAGTAAAAAGGGTCTCCGGTTCGGACAATAGGTGCCTGTACTTGAGATGCTAAAATATAAGTGCAGGTGTACGTGGTAGAGCCACGCTGCAGCTATATTAGTAGTATAGTTGTAGCACGAATGGGTCGGCTCGACCGGGGAAGGACCACGCTCTCACAGAATACCAGCGTAAAATAGCAGCTTAACGCTCCTGTGTTTCGTATGGTGAGTGCAGAGAACCGGATACCCTCTTTACTGGAAATGAAAACGAGGCATTCCAGCTTAGTCGTCACGGGTGACAACACAATTGCATTTCGAGATGTAGATAGATGTCCATGGGCCGCAGCATCCACTTACCATCAGGTGAACTGTGTGCTCGATTGTCATCCTTATTCTATAAACAAAAAGGTTTTTTTTCGCATTTTAAGAACTGTATAGTACTACTATAAACATGGTACAACCTTGCTGCAGCAAGGGTCTACCACATATAAAATTATAGGAAATAGGAATCCCTGATCGATTCCAATCATGTATTCAATTTATAACTTCGCTAACCTGGCCTTCAGACAGTCGTTGGCCGAGTTGGCTCCAGGACTCATATTGTTTACAAGCAAGCTATACAATTGGGTAACACAGTGTACATGCGTCACCTATAATTATTAATCTATAACTAGCTGTTCCCCGGTGCTTCTCACGTGGTCCCATATAAGTTTGATCAAGGGTTGACCAGTAGTATTTGAGTTATTCTTAATCATTTATATTGAAGTCGGTTGTACAATTTATTTAAAATTATTTTAAAGAATAAGGGTGACAAACGGGCACACCGTCCACCACAGTCGGTTCAGCGTGTACCGAAACATTGGAAAATAACTGCCATCCGATTATTACAACTCCCTATGGAGCAATCTATGGGGATGCCTTTGCAGCTATAGACTTAATAGACCGTACGTTACGATGTTTTTTTATAGTATAAGGGTGACAAACGAGCACACAGTCCACCTGATGGGTAAGTGGTTGCTGTGGCCCATAGACATCTACATCTATTCTCGATTACGAATCAAAATGCGTTGCAGATGCCTTATCACCCGTGAGGATTCAGATGGAATGCTTCGTTTCCAGTAAAAAGGGTCTCCGGTTCTCTACACTCACTATACGATACACACATTAAGCTGCTATTTTACGCTGGTATTCTATGCGAGCGTGGTCCTTCTCCAGTCGAGCCGACCTATTCGTGCTACAACTATACTACTAATATAGCTACAGCAAGGCTCTACCACGTATAAAATGAACGAGTGAATAAATTGAGTATCATAAGTAAGCGTCCAAAGTGTTTTCTCTACAATTGGTGGGCCACAGCATCTACTTACCATTGGGTTGGACTGTGTGCTTGTTTGTCACCCGTTTTCTATTTAAAAAAAATCTTTAAATATCCTTCGCCTTTATTACCTACGTTCACAACACACGTGAACGCAGCTGGTATTCAATAAGTCCTGAAATAGATCGCCGCGGACTAGATTTAGCAACTGTACAGAAACATGTATTTTGTGTATATTCGAAACAAAATTACCTATTTAACTGTTTTTCAACTGATATCAATAAAAGTTAATCAATTCTTCGGAATTTTTTTTTATGTATGTTAAGCGATATGTTTATGTGCTTTACAATAATTGTGTATATCATTATGCTTTTTTATACGTGGTAGAGCCATGCTGCAGCTATATTAGTAGTATAGTGGCAGCACGAATGGGTCGGCTCGACCGGGGAAGGACCACGCTCTCACAGAATACCAGCGTAAAATAGCAGCTTAATGCTGCTGTGTTTCGTATGGTGAGTGTAGAGAACCGGAGACCCTTTTTACTGGAAATGAGGCATTCCATCTTAGTTCTCACGGGTGACAACGCATCTGCATTTTGATTTGTAATCGAAGATAGATGTAGATGTCTATGGGCCACAGCAACCACTTACCATCAGGTGGACTGTGTGCTCGTTTGTCATCCATATCCATAAAAAAAATACTTAGTGAATGGTTGGACAGTTAGAGATTCCTGTACAGTGTAATGGCGGTGTAAAAATATCCACTACCCCATACCATCCCGTGGGTGTCGTAAGAGGCGACGGAGGGAAAAAATCAGGAAATGGGCAGCAGCGTCTTCCTAAGACTAAAAATAAAAAAAAAACTGCGGTTGCCAACCCGCTTGCCAAGCGTGGCAACTGTAGCAAATATCCCGCCTATAAGGTAATCTAGTATGGTGGAGGCCTATGTTCAGCAGTGGACTTTAATAGGTAACAATAACGGTTAGTGATATCAGGAAGCGCAATGTCGCTCAGCGAACTCGGTGTTTCTCTACGTGATAGACCTAAAAGCGAGGATATCCGCAGTAGAACCAGAGTAACCGACATAGCTCAGCGCATTAGTAAGCTGAATTGGCAATGGGCCGGTCATTTATCTCGAAGAACCGACAAGCGATGGGGAAGAAAGGTTTTCGAGTGGCAGCCTCGTACCGGTAGAATTAGAATAGAAGTGTAGGGCGGCCCGCCACTTGATGGAGTGACGATCTGGTAAAACATGCAGGAAGTCGAAGGATGCAGGTGGTTCGGGCCCGTGCTTTGTGTTATTCCTTGGTGGAGGCCTATGTTCAGCAGTGGGCTTGTGGATGTAATGAT